TTTTTTATATTTAAAATGAGATGTTTATCATGTATTTGATTATGTTTATCTGCAGTTAGTTACACGAATTCATATATGGGATGAAATCGGATAGAGATGAAATCGGATAGGGATGAATGGGTTTAAGAGTTTTAAGAATTTTAGCCAAATACTTTATAAGATAGTATAGATTATAAATATCTTAATTGCCTTATTCATTTTTTCTATTTTCGCCTATCAATTTTGGTAAAACTTTTGAAACAACCATGGTTTATACATGAACCAAATGAAAATAACCTGTTTTCAGTATTTGCTTTCATTTAATTAATTTCATTCATTCATTCATTGTCTTATTTGGTTTTCTCTGTTGTAGTTTACATTCATCTGAGGCCAATTTTCCCAGTAAATTCATACATATATAACACCACCCAGAACATATCTTCAGCCATGGATGATTTAATCGTCTCCCCATCTTCATCTTCTTCAATGGTTTCCTTCCCTAATACCACCATTCCTCACCCTTCCGCTACCATCCATCAAAAGCTCCAAAACCTCCTTCAAAACCAATCCCAGCCATGGGCATACGCCATTTTCTGGCAGACCTTCAATGACAGTTCTAATGGCTGTGTCTCCTTGTCCTGGGGTGACGGCCATTTCCAGACCAACAGTGACGTCCCACCCACCACCGTTCTTTCCGACTCAGACCCTGATGCCGACTGCCGGAAGTCTCTTCTTTCAGAATTCCAGGCCTTACTTGGACCTGAAAACCGCCATGATCCCGAATGGTTCTATGTTATGTCGTTAACTACGTCATTTACCCTGGGAGATGGTTCGGTTCCAGGTTCGGCTCTAGGTTCAAACACTTTGATCTGGTTAAGTGGGGTGGATCAGCTTCGTTCTCTGAACTGTGAGAGAGCTAAAGAAGCTCGGATCCATGGGTTGGAGACCCTGGTTTGCATCCCGACACCAAACGGTGTTGTGGAAATGGGTTCGCATCATGTTATCGAGGAGTCATGGATTTTGCCACATCAGGTTCAGTCACTCTTTGGCCGTGGTTCTTCTTCTTCTCCTGATGCCCTTCCTAATTTCTTCCTACCCACCGGCCGAACCTCTGATCACCCAATGAAATCGGCAGACAACCTCAACAACGTCGAGCATCAGAAGAATGTTATTTCTTTTGCTGATATGTTATTTATGGCCGGCGGGTTGCAAGAGGAGGACGAGGGTCTGAACGTGATAGATTTTGAATCAACAACATCCGATCACCAGAACATCGGAAAATTATCCAAGAACAACGACACGGCTGCTATGATCACGAATACCCATGCAGAAACCACGTCGGAGCATTCCGATTCCGACTGCCAGCTGGTTCTTGCCACGAGGGAGAGGAGGATACATGAGAAGAAGAAAGGAAAGAAGACGATAAAGCCAGGTGGTAGGGATGCTCCTCCTGTTAACCACGTGGAGGCAGAACGACAGCGGCGTGAGAAGCTCAACCAACGTTTCTACGCACTGCGCTCGGTCGTCCCAACCGTGTCTAGAATGGACAAGGCGTCCCTCCTGGCGGATGCCGTCGACTATATCAACGAACTGAAAGGAAAAGTAGAGTATCTGGAATCTCAGTTGCATCCACCCATCAACCACCACCGGAAAACCAGGAAAGTGAAGATGGAAGTTGCTGATACTGTAGACAACCCAGTGCAGAGTAGCAGCAGTCGTAGTCTCATGTATCAAACTCAGCCTACAATACAGATTAACAAGAAGACGACGAAGAGTAACACCAGTGGTGGTTTCTGGGAAGTGGAAGTGAAAATGGTTGGTGAGGATGCAATGATAAGGGTGCAGTCGGAGAATAGAGACTTGCCGGTGGCGAAACTGATGGATGCTCTGAGAGAAATGAAGGCAGAAATCCGGCATGCAAGCATGTCATTGATGAATAAGATAATGCTTCAAGATGTGGTGGTTAGGATCCCCGGTGCCATTGATGAAGATGAACTCAAAACGGATCTGCTTCGGAGATTAGACAGCTAAGTAGAATTAAGCAAGCAAGGTGCAGGTGGTCGATCATGAGGATTTCGAAAGTGATGCATGGTTTATGGCTTAGGTTTGAAAATCATCTTCAATACCAGCAGTGCAAGTGTTGTTGGGATTTGAAGTCACGTGATAGTTGTAATAATAAACATTGTATAAGAGATTGCATGGAGGCTCTAAACTTGAAACCATAAATGTCGTATGAAACAAAATTCAACCAGTTTAATAAATCAATCATTGGAATTTATAAAATTGAGTAGAGCAGGTCGTTCTGGGATTAGTCGGTTCGCATAACGAGTTAGATATCCAGATTAATCTATACTACTTTATAAAGCAAATTTGTCCAAAGTCTTAGAAACACCTTAACATGCATAAGATACTACCCTTTAATGCAGAAAGTCTTAAAGTCTAAAAAATGTACAACTTTTTTATGCATTTTCAATTTAAGGTACTACCTTTTAATGCAGAAACACTTTCACACATCCGGCTGCCTCTAAACCCTAATCACGTGAAGATGCCCACCTTCACACACCTTCGCACGCTCTCCAAACAACATCCGGCTGGCCCAACGACCGGCTCTCTCTATCGCACGCCGATTCAGTCTCTAAGATTTACCTATCAAAGCACGCTCTACTCAAAATCCATATCAGTCACTCTCTTCCCGAAGTGACGATTCATACACGCTCTCAAAATTTCCCAAGATGTTCGATTCAAGCTCTCGGTACGATTCACAATTGATTTCTGAATATGGTTCGGGTTCTTCTCAATGCTTCATTTGATCCATCGACCCTCTGTTGACTCCATCTCCATACGGTTAGTTTTTATTTATCATGGTATTGCATCTTCCTTCCACTTTTCAGAATGCTATGTTTTAGGGTTCGAATCCTCCTATTGTGAGTTCTAATCTTCCCCTCTTTAAATGTTCCAATTCTGACTTTCATCTCCATCTTTCTGGTTAGATTACAATCATCCTCTCATACGGTCAATGTTTTCTTCAACTCTCTCTCAATCATCAACATACCTGATCCACGTCTCCAATTACTCTCTAATCTCAGCAAATCTCAACGTTCGGTTCCAACGTCAATAGAATTTGTTGGTATTGTTGGGCTTGTGAAGGGAGCCAGTCAAGGGGAGGTTTGGATATGCATATGGTTTTTCTATTTTTTGTCATAGGGTTTGGGTAATAAATTTTTGTCACACATACGCGAAGTGGACTCCATACTTCAGGTTTGTTGCTCATCTGAATATCTTCAGCTCTCAATTGCTCAACTCTTTTGAATAGGGATGAGTGTGGAAATTTCAATTGGAAAATAACATCTTGGTTATGTTTTAAACATATGGTGTGTGAGCTGTCATTGCCTAGGATAGTGATCTTCATAAAAGCTACTACTTTTGAGAATTGTTCAATCCTGTAATGTTAGTGATTTCAGAACAATGTTATGTCAATTTTGTTCTTTAGTTGGCATGGAAATGATTATGCTCGATCTTCTTATAGCAATAGATAAGGGTGATCATCCATGTACATGCATGCTTTAACTGTTTAGTGTTCCTTGTATTATGTAAATCGAGGCCCCTTACTGGTCGCCAAGAGACAATTTGTACTTCTCTTTTCCACACTCATGGTCAATTATTTGCATACATGATCTAATATGTTTACTATACATGTATAAATCACCTCTGCAAGTATGATAACTCATTTGTTCTTGTGTCAGGTTGTGCGTTGTTTTGAGGATAATGACATTGTTCATGTGAATGGGCAAGTTGATCCCAAGTCAGATATTGATGCCATCAACTTAGAACTAGCCTTCTCATATTTGGACCAGGTATTCTATTGCAGTCGGTTTTTACATTTGGCACCAAGTTGAGGCAAATTGCATTTGTGTCGAGTGTATAGGAATTAACAATTTTCTATTTTCTCACAAATAATGACGAGGGTATCAAAATTTCTCCAAAAACTAAACTTGAAATTCGTCAAGCTTCAAAATTTATCTCCATTTTCGGAATTATGTAGCATTAGCTCGTGTTCCTCGAACACATATGAAATATTTAATCAGAGGCTACGGGCTTCACACCTCTTCTAACCACCTTCACGGAAAACATAACACCCTAAAAGGAATTGCAGTGACAGTTGAAATATAAAGAACATAAGTAAAAAACTTGTTCCCATTAATTATAAGCTCCATATTTAAATTGGATGGATATGAATTGATATATTGGTGGCTTACAACGGCATTGAAAAGAGTGGACTTTCCAACATTAGGGAGACCGACGATTCCAGCTTGAAAATCTTGAGTGCAAGGTTTTCTATCTGGGAATTTTTAGAAGTGGTGCCAGGATTTGACTATAAAAATAAATTTGTTGAAATATTTCATAATATTTGTATATATTGTTGAAAACCATGTTGCCTATAAATACCAGCAGGCCACATTTACATACATACTTGTTAGGATCACAAATCATCTACACACACACAAGGTCATGTGAGAAAAACAAAACACAAACACCGTTCAAAGGAATAATACAGTAGCTAAAATGAATAATACATCAATGTATGTGGCTTGAGAATCTATGTCATATGTATTTGTGAAGTTTGGTTATAAACAGCTGCCATACCCTGTGCCTGCTGTTGACATACCCCATACGTGCACTACTTACTCTAACTCTAAACTCCTTTGTGGTCTGCATTCTTTGAACTACATATCCATGTTATTTATTAAAACCCGCACATAGATCTAATCAAGTCTGCACCTATTTACAAATGGTAGCAGCACAAATGATCAATCAATTTAGCATATAGTTTTACATCAATGGGAACCTGTTTACATTGTGCATAATGAAAATGTGCATATGCTTTGATCTAATCACGCACACACACACACACATCATGTATCTCTAGGTTGTTTACTTGGAACCACTATTAGAGCTTCCATTTGAAGCTCTTGATTACCAATTGGACGTTTGTTACTCTGCCTTCTCCTGTTTATATTTGTTTTTAATATTGATATAGTTATCCTCAACGAGGCTTTGGAGATACGGTACATTCCATGGATAGAACACCTACATTCTGTTGAATTTTGAACTACAGAATCTGGCGAAAAATCGGCAGCTAACGAAGTTGTTCTGTGGATAAAAAATCAGCAGCTAAAGGGTTGTTTTGTTGCTAAAGATCAGCAGCTATGGAGCTGTTTTATGCCTAAAAATCAGTAGCCAACGAAGTTGTATGGTAGATAAAAAATCAGCAACTATAGGGACTGTTTGGATGCCGTTTTGAGACTGTTTTGGGCCTTGTTTAGAGATTGTTTAGAGCTGTCCTAGGGGCTCTTTACAAATGTTTTGGGAAGCATTTAGGACATGTTTAGAGGGTCATTTACACCTGTCGTGAGACATGTTTTGTTAAGTTTATATTATATGATACATTTGTCCATTATTTGTTAAAAACGACGTCAATCTTTGTTGAATTTACTATTGGTCCACTACCAAATATCCGATCTATCTTTTTCTTACATTGCTTAGCTTGAAGATCCATGGGGGGGGGGGGTGTTCACCAAGGCTCCTGGTAGGAAATATATAAATGGTGAGATTGATATTGTTGACTTACGGGCCGTTTTCCAAATGCTTACCCGGGTAAGCGCTTACCAAGTAACATTACCTCACCAGATGAATATGGTAAGGACCAAGAGTCTTACCCGGTAAGGGAGGGCGACGACTCTTACCACGGCAAGTGCTTACCGGGTAAATTGTTGCATACGATGTCGTTTTGGTGGACTAAAATCTTACCTGTCAAGTAAATAATAGTGTTAAATTTTACCCGTAAGCACTTACCGGGTAAGTGTTTGGTAAACAGCCCCTTAGTAGATACAGAGGAGTTTTTTGTACATGAGTTGTAGGCAATGTTGCAAAGATTGGGTATAGGAAACAATTTCCAACATCTTATCATTTTAGAGTTCCTAATCTAGACTTAGATTTTGGCCTGAAAGCTTTTCAAAATGATGTGGATGTGTTAAATCTTTTGAAAAATTGCTTCCTGGTTGTAAAATATTTGATATATATGAGCATGAATTGTCCATGGGAAATGCTTTGAAACAAAGTTGAACGAACACAATGTTCACGGACATGCTGATGAATTGAGTGAGGTAGAGTATGCTGAAATGTTTACTGATGGTTTTGATCCATTTTGGGAACCTGCCTGCTATGAAATAGCAGATACATGTGTTGCAGATGAGAAATCAGAGAGTGAAAAGACAATGACTTCATTGGTTGAACTCCATAATCTCATTGATGAAATTGATGTAAACATGAACACCTTTTGATTGAGCATTGATCTTGATGTAGAATGGGTTGGGAAGAATGATTTGAGATATGAGATTTTGAGAGCAATTCAGATGAAAATGATTTAGAGAAAGATAGGAAAAAACAACTGAAGAATCTGAGAAAAAATAAGGCGGGTAGTGGTGGAAGTGATGGGTGTTCAACTCCTTCCTTTGTTGGTAAATATGATGATATATGGATGGTCAAAACTTATGTGGAGATATGTGAGAGCTTGATGGTTGCTTCACGAAAAAGGACCATTTACTGGTCAAATGCTTATTGCTGTTGCGATTGATCCTAACCATGGTACATACCCACTTGCATATGCCATTGTTGAGGCAGAGACCATAAATTGTTTTGTAGTTTATTGTTGTTATTTTGGGATTATTTATATTATCTTATAAATCATATTTATCAAAAAAATTAAAAAAATAATTTTTTAATTCATAAAGTCTTAAAAGTCTTAAAAAAACTCATAATGCATTAAGTACTACTACTTTATGCATTCAATCTTAAAATCTCTTAATCTACAATTGAAATAACACATAATACAAGTTATCAATGCAATTATTATCTTTTTTTTATATTTTTAAAATACTTTTGACACATTCCACTCATGCCTTCACCCTCTCATACTTATACGTCTTCTCCCCATTCCTCAAGGTGATATTCAAATTGATATTCACCATGAG